ATCAGTCCCTCCAGACGGCTCTCGTGGCCGTTCACTCCTTTTTCTCTGTCCTCGTTTTAGAAGGCTTGCAAGTGCATCTTGAGTGCTCGTCACAACCTATTTGTGACGCTTGGAAGGCACAACCGTTGTTGGAAATGAAGCTCCGAAAGTCGATGTACACGGGTGTCCAACCGATTGGTGCTCATATGATGGAGAGGATAGAGCGTAGGACTCGGTTTCTTATCTTTCGGATATGGGAGTCATTGAAGTGTGAAGGGATTGATTACACTTCTCCAATTTCTCCATGATTTCATCTAAAGGGACTCGAGAAGTTTCTCGAGTCAGCTCGGGTAGGGATGGCAATGGGCCAGGTCGGGCTGGGTAGTGCCATGCCCAGACCTGGCCCGCGACCCTACACGCGTGGCCCGATCTGGCCCGTGCCCCGCTACGGGTCCACCAGGACGGCCCCGAGACTTGACCCGCATCGGGGCAGGTCGACCCGTCTTGACCTGTATATTTTTTTTTTTTCGCAGCCATATCTCATCCAAAAAGGTAGCTCTGTAATTATGTTCCGAATTTAACAAACAAAGATAGCAACTGTAAATTCCAATCTCCTAGAAAAAGGATTCTTTATTTTCTTTTACAAAGGATATTACAAAAACTTACCAAATCAAACCTCAAAACCTAACAAATCATCACAATAGTTGCTTCTATTGGCCAAAGTGACACCACTGGCCGTCTCCTAACCGTGTCGTGGCTCGCAGCCTCTGCCACCCAACCATTTCATATGTGCAACCCCAACCCTAGATCTGTGAGTATGTGAGTGAAAAGATAAAAGGATAAAGAGAGAAGAAAAAGAAAAATTAAAGAAGAAATCTGCTGCTGGAAAGTAGAATTAAAAGAGTGAGAAAGAGAAAAAAAAGATTAGATAGATGATGGAGGAAGTCTTGCTGATGGAGTGATGGGAGAGAGTGGGGGGAGAAAAAAGAAAAGTAAAGTAGGTAGGTAGGAAAAGTTAATGTGTGTAATTTATCCTAATTTTTACCAACTATATTGGTTGGGGCGGGTCGGGGCGGATCGGGGCGGGCTGACATTTGTGCCCCGGACCTGGCCCGTTTATGCAATGGGGTGGACCCGCCCTGGCCTGTTTTGGTAACGGGGCGGGTCCAACTCGCCCCAAAAGGTTGCAGGTCAGGCCAGGTCGGGTCTGGTCCGGGCCAAATTGACATCCCTAGGCTCGGGTGGAGGTGTTGCATCACAAAAATCGGGAGGCGGAGGATAGTAGTGAGGCGTCTCGTTGTGACCCGGGGTGTTATAACCAAAATCGACTTGAGATGGCGGGTAAAATGGCTTGGATACGGATAGGGCGACTCTATATATGAATGCATCTCCTCATGGCAATTGTCGGGTTATCCATGAGACGAGCTACCGGCATAAGAATAGCCTTATGGATCCATCGGAGCTCCTCAAGAGAAGTACCTCGCACAAGAACAACAAAATAACCCAAGGCACAAGAGGCAAATACAAAGAAAATATGCAAAATACGGAAAAAGACACAAAAACATAACCAGCACGACACGATATATACAAGAACACACATACAAAAAATCAAGAGAAATAGAAAACAAGCAAAAAATAAGAAAACACGCAAAACTAATCAAAATCCACAAAATCCAAAAAAAAAAAANNNNAAAAAAAAAAGCGTAAACAAATGACAACTAGATAGTAAACTTGGCGTCCTACTCACCTTCCCCCGGCAACGGCGCCATTTTGTTTAATAGTATTTTAGGGGTAGATGGTAACCGAGTTACCTATCTCAGGTCATTCTCAAAAGAATATTGTTCAGAGCTTCGTTCACTACCTAGTCGTCAAAATCACATAACCGAAAATAGGGTCCTACACATTCTACTCGCTTGATGGGATTGGATTGCACGAAATTACGCTAAGCAAGCGAAAGCAAATGATGCAAGATGCAGATTTTAGAAGAAAGATTGAAACTTTGGTTCCACGGAGTCTCCATAACCAAAAAAAAAAAGAAAATAAACAAAGAGAAATATGCTAGCTAAGTGATCCTAGGTAATCTAATACGAGCCTTCTTAACTAAATCATCTCGTTTTGCACAAAGTCGAGACCTTTACACAAGATAATCATGTATTGAATTCCTAACACACCTAAGCAAGCAAAGAAAAAAAAAAGAAAGAAAAGCCTAGAAACGAGCATAAACACATAATTCGAAAGACAAACTCGAAGTAATAAGGCCTAAGCAAGATACCTACTCTCCTATCGCATGCCCGGATGAAAATAGTGAATAAAGCTTGTAAATTGGATAAAAATAAAATTCCAGGAATTGCGACAGAAAAGTAACCAAAGCACAAAAATAAAAGAGAGAAAATAAAGAGGATTTCCCAACTTAAAAGTTGGGAAATGAAGGGTGTGTCTAAAAATACAAAGCACAATGTGTATTTATAGCTACATCACAAAACACTAGAAACACACACATTTAATGAAATTCTGAAGTTCACCGGTCTCGAAACGAGGTTCGCAGCGAGTTTAGGCATGGAATAGTGTAGCGCGGGCGTTCGCGGGTCGCTAACGCTCATTCGCTGAATGCCAGGGCCTGGGCTATTGTGGTGCGCGTTTCACCGGGCGCGGATGGGCATTCACTGCGAGTGTGGCGCCTAGGATATCTCGCCGCATACTTGCGGGCCGCGAATTCGAACTTGCAGCGAGTGTTGTGGGCCTTTGCTATTTTGCAGGCTTGCTCGCGCGTCGCGAGCTACTTTTCGCTGCGAGTGTAGCAACTATCACAAGTGATGCTCGCGGGTCGCGAGCGTGGTCTCGCTGCGAGTGCCTGCGAGGGGCTGCAGTCCGTGTTCGCAGCGAGCGCGCCCGACTTGCGGGGAGGCTAAGGGCTTGATTGTTTATGAAATAATTTGTTCAAATTGAGTTATTTTGGTTAACTATAGTTAGTTTTGAAAAAGGTGGTATGGTTAGTTGTAGTAGAATTTTAAGAATGTATTAAAATAATATTTAAAATAAAATAATTAAAATTGATTTGATGTAAAAGTAAGAGATACATGATTGGAAATGATTGGAAATGATAGGTAGTTAAAATTATGTGAGTGGATGAATAGTGAATTAAAGTTGATGTGATGTGTAAAAATGATTGGTTTGTATTATTTAATTATATGAATATATTAAAGATAGTGGGTTGGGTTAAAGTTGAGTTAGATTTTGAGTTGAAATAAAAGTGAGTAAATTATTTTGTAAACAATCACCGCCTAAGGCTCGCGCGTCTTGACTTGTGAATAGCCCGGATGACTCGATCAACGACTTTGCTATGGTTCGGTTGGCTCAAAATTGGCACTAACGGCATGTCTCCCCGAAATTGCAAAGTATACGTAAACAACACACCATAAGAGACGCGAAAATACGACAAAATACAAAAATCAACCAACACGAACAAAAATACACAAAACACGATAAAATGGATTGATCGACACTAAAATAAACCTAAAAAGACTGAACTAAGGAACATAAAACACACAAAAATAAACACAAAAACACAATAAACACCAACCCTCCCGCAAACTTCGTGATGTCCATGCGGAACGACCCCTCTATTGCGGGTCACCGGTCATATCGTCGTCATCCCGTGGATCACCATGCCCAAACTGGTTCACCTCCTCAACCGTAGCATTCGAGTTGTGTTGTACTCCTCCTCGGGCGGCGGCAGTCGCCCGCCGTCATCGCGACCCCAGTGCCTCCACGAAACCTTCCGCGACCGTCGACTTAAACTTTGAGTCCATCGCGGTTTGTCTGATCGCGTTGCACAATCGTTTGAAGAGACAATCATATATCCTTCCTGCCCGCCGTAAGATCTACCATCTCGCGACCAATCTTCTTGATATGCCGGCCGAAACCTTCGACTTGGCTACTCATCAATGAATCGATGGCGGTGGTGCACCGATCGTAAGCATTTTCAGCTCTTCTTGGCAGCTTCTGAAATCTTTTTAGTCTTTGTATACCAGCTGCTGTAGCGCAGCGAAAACGGAAGAGAGAAGAGATGATAAACCTCAAAACTCTTATTTTTATTTTATCAACAACCGATCGATAATAACAATGGAGAAGGGAATAAATATATTCCCAAAATACCCAGTCACATATCTTGCTGAATAAGTTAATAATATTAAATATGTGAATACCAACCAAGAAAAAGAAAATAAAGAATAGTACTAATTAGAAAATAATAATCGAACTATAAAGATAGATCTGATCGTCTAAAAAACACCGAGGCGATCTCGTCTCCATCAAGCAAAGATATAAAATTTGGACTAATTATTGTCTAGAGAGTAAATAAAAATCAAATTAGAGTCCACACAAACGATTTCAATTTTCGTATACATATATATATATATATCTACGTGGATAGAATCAAACTTATCTCCGAAGCCAGAACATCGATAATACCCCTAATTCGGGAGCTCGAAGAAACAAAATCCCAGCGAGCAATCATTGCAAAAATACACCTCGAAGATCGCAGTTTCATTTTTTATGGCGATTAATTAATAAGATAATAAAAAGGGGAAATTATATAATCCGATACCATCCTGTCGGGTGTTTTAACCATTGAATACACGACGAGATGGTACTGCAACGTGTTATGTGTTTTAACCATTGAATACACAATGAGTATTTATGATCTGTTACCATCTTGTCGGGTGTTTTAATCATTGAATACACGACGAGATGGTACTGTAACGTGTCAGGTGTTTTAACTATTAAATACATGACGAAATAATACTGTAACGAGACCGTAACATTTTCAATTACTAAAATTTTGGCAGCACGTCTTTTACCATTCCCCATGCAAGAAAATTATCTCACTCATCACATGAACCGACTCTGCAAATAGTTTGTTTCTCTCAAACCTGGATTAAAATTGCAGGAAAATAGAAGGCACTAATTAAAAATAAAGAAAAAAAATATATAAAAAAAATGGGCGTGCCATCGTTTTACAGATGGTTAGTAGAAAAATATCCCAAGATTGTTTGTGATGCTGTTGAACCATCACAATTGGCGCCAAATCACAACGCAGTGGAGTTCGATAATTTTTACCTGGACATGAATGGGATTATTCACCCTTGTTTTCACCCTGACGATGATGTCTCTTTAATTATTTTCACTTTTAATTATATTCAACTTTCATTTTTTTATTTTTTATTTTTTTCGAAAGTGTAGAGTTTAATTTTGTTTTACTACTATTTGATTTCTGATTTTTTTTTTTTTTTTTTT